AAAAAAAAAAAAAAAAATCTCATATTTGAGAGAAAAGAAATAAGAGATTCTTAGTCTATTAGAGGTGATTCTTTATAAAGATTTAAGTTCTTTAGAAAGATACACTGGTTTGTAACACTTTGGATGAGCCAGAAGGAAAAGCAAAGAAAATTCAGCATCATTTGTATTTCAACTTTTCCTTCTTAAAACTCTCTAAGAACACACTTTCTTTCCTTCTTTCCTTTCTTTCCTTCCTTTCTCTTTCCTCTCTCTCTCTCTCTCTCTCTCTCTTTCTTTCTTTCTTTCTTTCTTTCTTGACAGAGTCTCACTACATTGCCCTTGGTACTCATAGCAACCTCAAACTCTTGGGCTCAAGCAATTGTCTTGCCTCAGCCTCCCAAGTAGCTGAGACTACAGGTGCCCACCACAACGCCTGGCTACTTTTTGTTATTGTAGTTGTCATTGTTGTTTAGCAGGCCCAGGCTGGGCTCGAACCTGCCAGCCTCAGTGTATGTGGCCGGATCCCTATCCACTGAGTAAGAGGCGTCACCAGAATACATTTTCTTGATAAGATCCAAAGAGTCCCAATTTCTAGGACACTGGCTTGAGGAAGAAAACCATTAGCCATTAATTTTTAGCCATTAGACTTACCACTCGGCTGAAGTATTCATCTAAAACTTCCACAAAGTTATGAATGAATTCATAAATAGCCATCTCATTCTGAAATAAAAGAGGAAGGGTGCAGTTAATTTACTGTGGTCCTCATGTAAATCAGACATAGAACTCCCCCTCAGCTTCCAGATTTGAGAGCATGTGGTTTAGTGAACAGATAATGTCAGCAAAGTAGCTTCCTACTGACAAATATTCAGAACAGTTCTATGACTTACTTATTTAAAAGACATTTATCAATAAGTGAAATGTTAAAAATCTTAATCTCTTAAGAAACTTTTTTCACGAGTCTAGGATGAATCTAACCGATTGAAACCTTACAGTCTAGTGTTTTGAGTTCTCAGCTCTACTTCCTGATATTATCACCAACTCAGCCATCATTTTTTTATCTGTGAAGATGAGGAAACCACTTCAAAAGTCTTGGTTCGTGGATTAAAAAAATAATCAACCAAGATTTCAAAGTATTTTAGATCTGAAACACCTTTGGGGAATTCTGTAGCCTGATGTGCTATTGCCCTGGGACAGATATTTCTGAAGAAGGGAACTAAATCCGAGGAGATGTAATCACAATGTAATAATATTTATAGTTTTCTCTGATTTTTGATATCTCAGCACATGTTCAGTGCTGAAATCGACTGGCCTCTATACTTGCGTGAGCTGTTTCAGTGTGTCACAGAGCAAGGGCAGGCACTGGTGTTCTTAGGACAGTGAAGGGCATTCTGGGGTTTGGGGCTTGTCCCCTTTGTAAGCTGCTCATCTAATTCATGAAACATTCTAAGGTATTTTTCTTCCACACAGCTTTCCCCAGCCCTGACAGAAACCAAGCCCCTTCAAAACAGTCCATAATTCTTAGGTAGGCAAGTAGAAAGAAAAGGAGGAATAGGGGCGGGAGTGGTGGCTCACGTCTATAATCCCAATACTCTGGGAGGCTGAGGTGGGTGGATCACTTGAGCTCATGAGTTTGAGACCAGCCTGAGCAAGAGCAAGACCCTGGTCTCTAAAGAATAGCTGGGCACTGTGGTGGGCACCTGTAGTCTCAGCTACTGAGACTACTAGGAGGCTGAGGCAAGAGACTCAATTACTTGAGCCCAAGAGTTTGAGGTTGCTGTGAGCTAAGATGCCATGGTATTCTACCGAGGGTGACAAAATGAGACTCTGTCTCAATAATAATAATAATAATAAATTTAAAGAGAAATAAAAATCAGAGTGTTACCCCCATTTTCTTGCATTTTTCCATGATCTCCTCTGTTATCTTACCTCAGTGTCATTAACTCCAACCACAATGAAGAGAGCTGCATACTGCCGATATATCAGCTTAAAATCCTTATACTCAACGAAAGAGCACTAAACAAAACATAATGAGATATTAATCCCTGTGGTTGACTGACAGCGCTTTCTTCAAAATGGCATGCATAATTTCTAGCTGCCAATTTGAGTATCTGACAATCCACTCTTGGAAATACAGAACATTCAAATGTCACACAGTTGTCGCCAGCTTTCTCACCACACTTGGGGGACTATTTGGAAGCATCTCTAGTGGGAGATGCTGGAGAAGAAGACTTGAACAAATTTCTGAGTGTTCACACGGGTTCCCACTCGTACTCCTCATTCCCCTGCTTAGCTCGTGTGGAACTCAGCAGGCAAAGCGAATGAATAATCAGCATTTCAAACTGCCTCCAATGTGAAAATCAGTGACATGATAAAAAAGATTTTCTTCTTCCCACCAATCATGACTTTTTGGAAAGCAATGAGAAAGCCTCAGTTTTGTAGTATTGATGTAATAATAGTCACCGAGTAGCCGAATACAAAGAGCATACCAAAACAAATATTGGTTGCTTTTTCCTAGAGTCCCATGAAAAGTATTAGTGCAGATTCTCTTATAAATTATTTAGAGGTGGCCTTTGTGTGGCAGACGCTAGACACAATCTCCCATTGTAAACACTGCTTCACAGGAATTGATAACTAGCCTACTGTCACTGACACGTGGATAAGACAACTCCCTTGTCATTCCTCTCTCCCCTAAAGTGACTTTCCATTTACGGGAAGGGGAGGGGTGGACAGGAAATTCACAGCAGGTGGAAGGCACAGTGTCACTCCTCCTCTGGAGTTTAGGGTATGACTGATCAGACGCAACTGAGCATGAACTTATGGCTTTTTGTACTGGGATATGTTGCTCTTGGGTGCCCAGAGGTATCCGGGAATGAAGCTGCAAGTTTTGATCATGGATATTCTCCATGGGAAAGCCATTTGACAGCTATAAGAGGGAGAGATTTGAGGCTTTTATTTAAAAATAGCAGAAAGGTAATGAGTATGGAACCACTCTGCAGCTTTTGGCTCATTGCAGAGCCAGTGTGATTTCTGCTCAGCTGGATCTTTCAAAGAAACACAACTTTTTAAAAAGAACTGAGGAACATTTTTTAAAGCCTATCAGGAGTTTCTGACATTAAAACACACACACACACACACACACACACACACACATATCATCAAAGCTTCTTTGTGAATAAAATAAAAACTAAGCTGATATTATGGTACCTTGGTTCCTGATTATGCCAAAAGCCCGGTGGGTTCCTTTTAAAATCTAAAACAATTTAGAATGTATCAAAAATACACATATCCAGGCTTGGTGCCTGTAGCTCAAGCGGCTAGGGTGATAGCCACATACACTGAAGGTGGCAGGTTCGAGACCAGGGCCAGCCTGCCAAACCAGGCATCGGTAGTCCCAACTACTTGGGAGGCTGAGGCAAGAGAATTGCTTAAGCCCAAGAGTTGGAGGTTGCTGTGAGCTGTAATGCCA